ACAGCGTTGCATCATGAACGCTGTGACCGCAAATGGACACATTTCCATAGATCAAATCGACTCCTCATGTCACAGTCAAAATGGGGATGCTGGGAAGTAGAAGCGATTGGAATGGACAGAAGGCAGACAGTCTTTGTGTCCTCAAAGAGGCTTGAATAAGTTCCGACAGCACCCATTCTACCCTACAACGCTGGAGCCACCTCCGCTACCTGATGGCAGCAGCACTAAGTGGCTTATTTTCACAACAGTATGCAAGCAGTCTTGACAATGTTTGCAACTGTGGTGGCGACATTGCGAACCATGCCGGTAACCGTAACCTAGTGTGAGACGATGAGCAAAGCATCAGACAACCACATGGTCAGAAGGAATGAAGTGGGTCATTGATTTAGTCACATGGTGGAAGAAGGAGGAGTGACGGTACGAGTTAAGAGGACAGAGAGGCGAATGCGTGTGGAGATGCGGCGAAATGGGTGGTGTCACATCGACCAGGGGCATCCCTACGCACTATAGCGATCTCGATACGGCTCTGATGTGTGAGCTACCATACATCCGCCTACACGCGCACGTTAACGCTCGTAGTAAAGGAAGAGTGCTATGGTTGAGGAAGGCGTTAGGCCTTTTTAAGTATCCAGTCGTTACAAGATCATTGGTACTGGAATTTGAACGAAAGTTGAATCGTCAACTGCCTCACACGTGTGAGGAGATGCTGAATGTGTGGGACCCAAGGTGCTAGTGATCCCTGTCCATCTTAAACTCGGTTTATTCTGAATCCACAATGCTTACAGTATTCTTAAGAGGTAGTCTCGCAGTGAGCGCACCACCTAATCCATGCTCACTAGGATCCTGTGGATGGCGACACCAAGAACTCTCTGCATCTCTTCTGCTGAGGATTTCAGCCTGTGGTAGAAGCTGAAACATGTATGAGTTTGCTGCCATTGCAGTGTGCGTCAGTAAGGTGGGAGCAAATAGGTACGTGATAGTGAAGAAAACGAGCGAAAGCTTACTTCATGAGATTACCTTTCATCAACAGCGACTAAATTTGTTTACCATGCTTACCTCAGCACTCTTTGATACACTTGTGATAAACGGAATGCATCCGCACAATAGCACATCACTTATCAGATGTTTAGATAATTTTCCTGACACCCGAATCAACTGCATTAGCTGGAATCGTGTTTGGAAAGAACATGAGCGGTGTTGATCAAAATGGCAAAGGACTAGTGAAATGCTTATTTTGTATTGCTGTGTCAATTAGGCTTGCAGAATCAACTGAACGCGTTTCTTATAAGGAATAGACGTTGTATACTTAAGAGGAGAAGAAAGTATTTCTGAAATTGTCCAAATCCTACTCACTCCATCCTCTTCATAAAATTAAAGACAAGAGATACGCCCTCGTGTCCAGTTACTTTTTTTCTATTAATTTGACGTCCAAAGGGGTGGGGTCGGAGGGCAAAGTTGAATGCCCAACTCACAACGACCACCACTTCTTTACATTGCTCAGTGGTGTATGACCTGAAAACTTTGAGCATTAGCAATTCCGCTTGAAAGTGAGGAAAATGAAATCATTTCTTCATACTTCCAATCAATGCAGACAGTTTGCATTCCATAGTTCTTCGGGATCTTCTTCTGCCTTCTTAGACAACCTTTTCTGCATCTGTACTGTGCTTGCCTCTGACCTCCATTAACTTTGTGTCTATTTAAAAAGACAAAACGTCCTGACGAATGTCTTTAATGAGTTTGTCTTATTGTTAATCGTCTCTGTGCGTCTGATCTTACCCGATCAACGAGTTGTTAACTGATTTGTTTACTGTCGCCTCGATTAGGTGGTAAATGTTTGAAAATGAAAGTGTACACCACTGTCGGTGCCAAGTGTCGGGCTCAAACACATGGCTGGCCTCACCCAGATTACAGTAACGCACATAATGTTTTATGCCGTAAGTTCATACATGTTCATCTTCAATTCGTGCAGTAGAGGATTATGAAAGTTGGAACCTCATCTCCTTTCCCTTAAGCCACAAAATATCAAACTACCAGAAGGAAAAAACTGTAATTTGGCAAGTGAATGGAAACACATAAATCAAGTTATTGAAATGTCAGCTAATGTTAAATTCCTTATAAATTAAATCATTTTTTGAAACAACTCTAAATCTTGTCGTATTGTTTCGAAAGAAATGAGACTTTGAAAATCGCTAGTCTGTATTCCCGTGTTGGATTGAAGAAGACATTTACTTTTAGCACTAATAACCGACTAAACGATTTGCATGAGGAATCAAGCTAAAAGTAGCGCTTTGCATTTGTGTGCTTCACTTTCAGGTACCGCAGGTGAGACAGGCAAAGACCTCAGCGTATGCTGTAGTCCATGCTCGCACCTACACGAATGAAAATAGGAGAAAATCAAGAAACCAAAAGCTACTGAGGGTATCTGCTAGTCAGGTTTAGACTTAAAATATAAATGCATTTTTTGGAGTTTGTAAGTGATTACTAAGTCATTATGTGCCACAACTTTTACTAATTCTTGACACATTTAAATGAAACAAACTACACATCCAAATTTTATCACCAATGGCATAACTATCCCTAAATGGAGTTTTTAAGGCGAAAATCTTTTACCTGAAAAGATGGTTGATTTGATAGAATTGTGGAGTACATCACTTTCTGTTCTTTACATATTTGTCACCTTTTTGGCACTAGCGGTCATTGATTGTCGTTCTACTTATTAAATGATAGTAGCATTTTCTCACAAGAGGTCTTAAATGCCAAGGCCTATATTAATTATGGTAATTAAAGTTATTGCACGTTCATTTACCTCGCCACAAAATGAGCAGACAAGTCCTAATGAAATAAGAAGCCACGCATATGGGCAAACGGTCTCCTTTGCAAACGTACCTGCGCCGAGTGGTGTACAGGCCATGATCTGGATGCTGCATTCTGCCTCGCATTTATCTTCCATGCCACACAGAACTCGACGAGACGAGTTCCTGTAAGTATAGTGCAAGTCACCACCGGATGCACATGGTAACTGGGTGTCCAGTAAATTATTCCACTGTTGCATCGCCCTCGCATACTGCTGTCTGATTTATGCACAACGCCATGCACTTTGTTCGCAACATTTGTGCTAATGGTCTTTTGACTCCTCTGTGTGATCCTGCTAACCTGACATCCCGCTTGCACTGCCTTTAACACCCTCCAAGGTTAAGTCTACTCGTGTTTGAATAATATCATCGCTAATAATGTGCTACAGTGAGAGAACCCGTCCATTTTCTTGTGTTTGAGGTATCTAAAGTCACATGGTAGAAACGACGGCTGTAACAAAGTCGTCCAAGTTATTAATTTCTACGACGCAAAGTTTTACAGCCTTTAGTATGACGTTATTAAAGGACATGAAAAAATCTAATGCATGATTTTCTACAAAAAGGGCGTTACAGTGAAGTGGAGGAGCTAAAGCAGATTTTGGTAGATCGTGTCCGTCGTTTAATCAGGACTCAGTGAATTATGAAAGATCTCCAAACAAGGAGACTTCTATTGCATACATGCCACTAATCGCCAGCATTTTTGCCAGTGTGCGGGATGCCTCGGCATAGAAACTATAACAGACTCAGCCCAGTCAAAATTACAACGCCATCTTATAACAGCCTTCAGAAGTGGAAACCTTCTGACACTAACCGTAACCCGGATCTTGCTACGTCTCACATCCCACCACATGGGACGTCATCATTTGTGTCTATCAGACTAGCGATGCACTTACTTTCCCAGACGTGGACCGGTTAACTAAGTAAGTGACTTTTAAGGACCTGATGTTCCTAGTGGTTTCGTGTTTATGCGAAACAAGCTTACATTAGGGTGCATCTGCTAAAGCAGTCTTCCACTGATCACAGCGATTCATGCTTCAGATATACCACATGTCTGCTGTTAGTGCTTTGCTTAGTGTTAACATTAAAGTGTGTCCGAGGAAAACGCTCTGACACATATTGCTAATCTTCTGAATAACCAACATGGAAACTTTCATGCTAAACTCGAATGGAAAGTCAGCCTTCCAAGTGAATCTCCATTCGCCGGACTAGAGCATGGCAGCGTTGTGATGGCAGAATAGAGGGTGCAGACGGACTCCTTTATTTCTGCACAATTTGACTTTTGATTGCGTCGGCAAAGATCCGCTATCAATGTTTGCGTCTTTGTTTATCCGAGATTTACAGAATACTGTCCAATAATATCTGAGATTTTATAATATTACTTTTAAAGATAGGACCGGATGTTAAAATAACAGCAGCTTTAGAATCGCAGGATGAAAGAGTCCTGCAAGCCTTTGCCAACTGATTCTAAAAATCCGTCTACAAGAATGGTCAAAGAACGAGTAGAACTTTACTTTAGCTGCGATGTTGTGCTTCTTAGCGTCACAAAGACGTGGTTCAAACACCATCTAAGCGGTACTTACTTGTTGGTCAACGCATAAACTGCAAACAGATTTGAAAAAGTGTACAAAGACACATTTCACTTTAATTACATAGAATGTCTCTGAGCTGCTTTTATCAGTCGGCAAAAGCCAAGTCCGACTCCGATTTCGACAGCTTAAAGGCTCGTAGTCACTGATGCCACCCAAACACTGGTTGAGCTTATGGCAGCCATTGTCTATGCAGGATGAGAACGCACTTAACAATAGGACAGAGGAACTCAAAACGAATAATCAGAAAGAGGAAGACAAGAGGCGAACAATTCTATTAATAATTCGTTAGCCTAACTGACTACCCATTTGGCGTTGCGAATTTTACATTTGAGAACCAGAATTATCGCGCTTGGAGCATGGGACAGTGGGTTTTACCGGGATTTAGGCGACTTGACAGCCCTAAGTTTGCAGACAGGCAGTAGCATAATTATCGCACTTTGACAAAATCCAGATTTTAAAAAAAGCAAACATAGAGACGAAGATGCGAGGCAAGTTATCAACAACCAGTGTGAAAAATGTCGGAGTGGCTAAAGAAGGCGAGGATTGAGAAAAAAATGCATTAAGCAACGTCTCCTCCGGCCTCTTCTCCCTCTCCTCTTTCTTCTTCGTGCCCCTCTTCCTCCTGCTCGGAGGCATTGTAAATCGTCTTGCGGTAGGGATCGCACAAAGCGGCACAAAATTTATTCGTGAAACCTACGCAGTGTGCGTCCCTGTCTCGAATAAATAGAGCCATGGTGAAGGCTGAAAGAAGAAGAGGTGATACAATAAAATTTCGGCATTTTGGGATAAAAGCTCAAATGATGCCGCACCAACAACCTCATTAGAGGTTTTCCTCAAGTTGCCCCAAATAAGTAGTAATGCGAATCGTGAAGATTTGATCCATTTTCCAACCACCACTTCTTTCGGATTTCGTCCATCAGTGACTCCCCCTCGTTCGCAAAACCTTGAGCCACCAGGTTAGGAACTCAAAGCCATTTTGCAGTTACTAATGGATGTGTGAGCTTGTCTGGAAGGTATTTTTTGGCCGCTTCAAATCGTGCAAGTGATTGTTTTGTGTCGTACACACTTCATTTATTTTTTTTTCTCCTCTAATATTTTAACATGGCGTGTAAACCAGAGCCGAGACCCATTTCGTTGAATCCAAATGACCGAAAAGTTCCACTAATCGTACTTTTGGACAATTTAAAATTGAAGGTTTGCGAAAGATATCATTAGAAGAATCTGACAAAACGAAAGGCCTGCAATTAACACGGCAATCCTAAAGACAACCACATCTCTCGGCTCGAAGATGCATTCGCTGATTCGCATAATCGCACTGCACCAAATATGCCATCGGCCCTCCCTCGTCCAATTACTCTTTCGCACATCCAGGCTGGACTTTGTAGTCGAGCCATTAACATGCTAGAAAGCTGTCATAAATTATGACCGGCAAATCTGTTCTGGAAGGTTATTTCTAGAATGGACATCAACTTACAAAGGAGGCAGGCACAGGCACAAGCCGTGTAGACTGCAATCCACTTGCCTAGAATGTCGAACTGAGAGATAACTCCTGCGGTGATAAGAGAACTGGGACACTAAAAAAAAGTAGCAGATAATTGCATGCTAGAAGCTGTTACTCATTGACAGCAAAAAATGACCAAGAAGTTGAAACGTGCAGTGATTGGCTTTTCGGGATGCAGCCAAGAATGGCGCATTATCTTTTGGTAATTCGACTGCATTTGTCTCAGTCGTCTCACTTCCTCACAGTGTTTCCTAAATAATTGCAGGTAAAATGAAGTAAACAGAGACGGAATTGTAGATGCCAAGGGAAAAAGATGGTCCATGTGTTTGAACAGCAAATCAATTCTACAACCTTACTCAATACTATGCTTAGATTTTATTTATATCTTAAAGAGAATCTGATTTCAGATAATAAACTGAAAGTGGAGCACTGTTTCTGGCCATCAAGTCCCTTCCTGCCGTTGCGTCAACTTAAAGTGCAGAGTTCGTCAACTGATTTTCCAACGTCTGTCAAGTTTTAGGAGAAAATCCAACTCAGCCGTTGAGCTCATTTCTATTTATAAGAAAAGTAGTAGATTTAAAGACACGATTTCTCAAGACGCTTCATTTCCGAACATCAAATACAGCAATAAAGAAAATGAATAAAGCCTGTAGGCAATCAACACAACCTCCCGACACTGATTGCCATGGACATTGAATAAACACACCCAACTCGGCTATCAAGTAAAAAGTGTTTAAAAGTAATTGTGCGCCGTGAATAAATGCTAAAGCTTTAGACAGCTCCATATAAAAGCAAATTACTAAAAGTCGAAAAAGGGTAAAGGATAATTTGTAGTTAGGGGAGGAACTAAGCAAAAACCTTTGTAAAAGGAGTCACGAAAATAGTTGGCAGAATGGACTTGGTGGTTCCCAACTTAGTCTATAGAGGGTCAAACTAACTTAACTCCCATTCCTATAGAAATTGTAATTGTAAAACCTTCGGAAGCAGTCTTGACAGTTTTGTTTTGCGATGACTAAATGCACAACCTCAGGTTAGTAAAATTAGAGCGAAAGCATTTACTATGAAGTAAAGAACGCAGCAAGATGGTTTGGACCGGAAGCATGCTTTGGTAGGAGGACACACATCGACTGCTAAAGTGAAGTCCATTCTCTCAGATTTCTGAATACATGGTAAAGCTATAAATTCAGGTGTGACAACTCTAATCCTCCACGAAACAGCCTTTGAGGGACATAATGACCAAGTGGTTTTTGACAAAGTAAATCCCACTCGGGAGGATTAAAAGACCTGGCAGGACCAAAGTGTTATGATGATAAGCTATAATAATGAACAAGACACCAAAAACTAGTGTTTACAACCGACAAACGCTTGAGAGGGTTCATGCGTTTAAAAAAACCCAGCTTTTGACAGTGATCAGTTGCCACCGGAATTCGATACACCCATAAACACATGGAAACGAGTTATCGTACTGGCAAGGAAGTTGGATTTTGACAACGCTTGTTAAAATTCCCCAAAGTAAATGCAGCCCTCAATCAGACGGTAGGAAGGAATACATGACATTCAGGAAGTTTACATGCAAGGAATCGTTATGCGTCTTTTACTTTTGTTGCTCGGTATCTGACGCAGCCTATACAATTGCAAGGGCCTTATCCGTCGACCAGAAATATCTGCCATGTCATTTGAATATTTTAAGTACAGCCGCTCCCTTTGTGTTGACAAGTTTAAAAATCACTTCACATGCTCGCGGTGCTCAGAGCGGACAGATCGAAGCGTGTTAGCACTTGAAAAAGCATAACAAATGAGTGCATGCAAGTCTCACCGAGGCGAAGTAGATAAGTCCGTAGATTGTGGCCATGTTGGCAGGACCAAAGACACGAGTACAAGTACCCGGAATTATCACAAAATGTGCTGAGAGAGCAAAGAATAGGCCGAACACCCAAATGGCGTAGAGAGTCTTGCCAGCTGCTCCCACGGCCACGTAGGGGAAGGTCACAAATAGGCTTCCCCACATCACCAAGAAGCACATAAGTGGACACTGGAAGAAATTGAAGTAATGGAAAATATTTGGAGTTGACTCACGCGACATCGAATTCTTACCACAATTTTCCTTTTATTAGTCGGTTAGTAGAAAGTACTCAGGAATTTAAACGCACAGTACCTTGTAAGGAGAGACAAAATTGTACTATGGTGGGCAGCTTTAGGGAGGTACAGAAATACATGACCATCCAGTATCAAGCCTTCAACCCGCCTATTTCACAGTAGCAGTTTTATCGGACACATTTTTATAATTTCACATATGTGCGACCGGTTAAGAAGTTCACCATTCGGAAGTAAATAGATATAACATCTCGTGTATGCAATACAATACCTCCGCCTTCATCGCTATTTCAAGATACAATTTAAGCCAATTATCCATCAGAATATAGTAAGAAACTTCAAAGGAGTTACTGTAACACCTAAAGTTTACCTCAAGATTCCAACTTTTCCCACATTTTTGAGGAAACCTGGATACCGAGGTTCTTACAAATCGGTAAAATAAAGGACCGACGATAGTAAAACTTTTACGGAGGTTGTGCAGCCAAAATATTTACCCCACAAATGGAGGACGCTCTAACCTCTCCTGGTCTTTAAAATGCTGCACAGACAATAACTTATTTGAGGGAACTCTGCACCACCGCGCACGATTTATCGACGTGATGACTTTTACATTCCCTTGTGCACCGCACAGAGAAAATATACAGGTCTCTAGGAGCTCTATTGTTAGTGTTCCGACTAGGCAAAGTGCGTGTTTCAGTCTTCTTTGAACTCCTGTTCCATTCCTACCTGATGTTTGGTTGCCCAACGGGAAATTCCCAAGGGGCAAAGAGGAAAGAAGTAGGTTGCATAAATAAATAATCCCACGACACAATAACGCACAGGTCGTGAAGGAAACTTAGTAATGCACAACTGTTCAGTCTGCGCACATTTTCCACCGACGATCCTCAAGATGCAAGCCAGCCAATAGCTTAACGACATTTCGATGAGGAATGACAGACAAAGCTTCGCAATTTGATAAACCGGTAGACATAACCGACACCATATCAAAATGTCCAAAGGTCGTTAGGGAAGATGCGAGTTGCTCTATGCTGGAGGGTTGAGTGCACCTCGTCCCCACTCCCCTCTGTACCACCTTAAGCTTGACTTTTAAATCCAAAACTTATTTTTTCCGAGCCAACGGAAAACCACCCACTGAAAAATATTGTTATTTTGTCCTTATTCACGTTTTAAAATGATTCTGTCATGGAGTGTTAGAGGGCAAAGGAGGAAAAATGTTGGCTTCCAGAAAAACGAGAACTTCGGGTTTTCAATCATTCAAGTTCGTTTTGATGAAGTTATTTTCAAATTTTTGAATAACTTTTGAGAACAATTTACAGCTGATTTAAATAGAAATGCTTCATGATATTTGAACTGTTTGTTAAAGTTAAAAACAGTGATTTGTCACCATCTCTGGGACACAACAGACGGTGGATTCGTGGTCTACCAATCGAGAAGTTGTTAAATTAGATAAACTGGGCGAGAAAGTTTACAACAACTTCAGCGCCTAGCAGAAGACTCAGCAATTAGTTCACATGAGCAAGTGTCGAAGTATGTCTAATCAAATTCGCCTCTTTACCCTTAAAACCCCCTTGGGCAGCTTTTGAATCCTATTGACTGGGCGCCAGGTTGAGTTGTTGTTGTTGTTGTTATGGGGAACAAGGATCGGACGTAAAGGAGATGAGTGTTTATGTCAATAATGTTCCTCATAAAGGGAAACGCGCCTACTCCCAAGTGACTTTTGTGGAAATCGCGAAGTTGAGAGGAACAACAAGGTCCACCCCGTTAAACTTGGCTGTCGGTATAGCGTGTCTGTTTTTTTGCGCGACAAGTCCTGCAAACCGCTGGAATCGATGAACCAACTTCATTTAAAGAGAATGAAGCAAAAACAAACCAACCGCATTATGTTCGATGGAAATTCAGTGGATGGAAAGAAAACAAAAGGTCCGACCATTAGGCTGCATCTACAACCTTAAAATAGGCGAGATGTGCAAAATCTAATTTACGGGAAGTAGTCAAGAACTTTCTTTCCTACGTGGCTAACAAGAGATATTAGGTGGACTCTTTGACATCCTAAATAGAAGCTCTTCTTAGCCAATAAGAAATGCTTTGCTAGCTTTTATTTTGGAGATTGTGGGCCATAGAGAAAGCATGTTCCAAACGATCGCTCCGCTAAATGCTCACAAGATGGAGCGACAGTCACATCATTCATTGCAACCAATGCGGTCGGCGGCTGCCAACTAAAAACCGAGTCGATAAAAATGAAGGCGACACACCCCAACCATTACATAACAGTGAAGACACATTGCTCTGACTTGTCAGAGCATGACTAAACTATGCGCACGTTGTTTTCCCAGGTCCAATTCGCAGGAAATACAACAAGATGTCATGGTTTCATTGAGGACGTTGCCATAAATAAAAATAACAATGGACGTACCTTAGAGGAGAAGCGGTCAACCATGTGGCCCCAGAATACACGACCGAGGCAGTTGAAGGCTGCACTGGTTGTGGCGATAGCCGAGAGAAACTGATCATCGAAGGCACTGCGAATTCCGTAGACCTGAAATAAGAGTTCTCCAGTTTGACGAAATATTTGTTTTTGATAAGAGATGAAAGGAGCTTAATCAGTAATAACCCTTGCCTTAAATGTCGAAGTAAGAAGGACAACCGGAATGATGTCGCAGAAGGCAATTAACCATAGCAGGTAAAAATCCACGGATTTTAGTGCCTCGGAGACTGTGTAGCTTTTCGGAACATTAAGTGTTTTCCTAAATCATGAGGATAATCGCAAGCTTATTTATTTGCGAAGTCAAAATTTATCATGACTAAAGTCGGCTCACTTTTTGACCTCTGCGGTGCTGTTGGTCAAACTAATAGCAGTTTCGTCATCGTCCCTAAATCAAAATAAGATGATTTCCAGCAAAGACTGGAAAATAAGGCGCTGTTTTGATTAAATCCAATTACTAACACCCAAAGTTATTACAATAAAAGCATGCTATATCTGAGTAGCGCCAAGGTAAATAAAGAATGAGGAGAGAAACGATAAGGAATACACGGCAATAGGCTACGACGGTCCGCTAATCAGGAACTTACTTTGTCGCCGTTTTATCGGGAGTTCTCCTCTGCATTAAAAAAACAAAAGGGTTGTGTTTAAAAAATGCGCTTATTAGTCTAAATAAATTTACTGATACAATGCTTCTGGATCTCACTTCTGGTTTTTGTCTTAACAAAATTGTGCCGATTAACTCCAGGCCAAGAACGATGCCACCAAGGACTATGAAAGCCATCGGGATCCCTTCCTCAACAGAAGGTGGAAACTTGCTAATTCACAAAAAAGGTCAATAAAAGTAAAGGAACGGCAGAAGGTGGATACCAGAAAAAGTTACTTACGTTCCATTAACAGGAAGATTGTTTGGGTTTATGATAGCAGTTTGAATTGGTGTAAAGACAAGAGCACCCAAACCGAATCCAGAAGAAATAATACCAACAACTGTAGCCCGATGTTCCGGAAACCACTGTAGACGCAACAGATTAAAAAATTTTCGAAACATAATGATAAAAACAAGTGAAACTTTACTAACCGATGATGCAACTGAGAAGATGACTGAATAAGGAACTCCCATACCGATGCCATTGAGAATGCAATAAGTCGCGATGTAAGGGCCGAGGCCGTAATCAATAGTCAGGCGGGTCAGCAAAATTCCACCTCTATAAAATGAAAAGCGGACACGCTAATCGCTATTTTAAGGAAAAGGCGCACTCAAAGTGAATCTAGCCAGTAACAAAACGCAACATACGCACTAAAAACCATCGCGATTATAAATACCGGCCTGTATCCCAACTTTGTAGCTAAAATGGCTCCAGTTGGCATAAAAACCGCCTGAAGTGCAAGCAGCGTAGATGAGAACCACGCAGCTTCGCTTGATTTGATCCCCATATATGAAACAACATATGGGATCATATTTCCTGAAGTTCAAAAATTGACACTTTAATGACTTACCAACAGTGTAAAAGTAACCGAGGGCAAGATGGTACAAAAATCCTCCAAGGACACAGAGGATGCCCCAAATTGAAAACCGCACCTTCATTGCCAACTCCACAACGCGCAGACCAACTTTGAAGTCTCGCCAACCTTGTGATCAGCGCTTACAAATTAGTTATAGTGTATCAAAACAAATAAGATGCCATGTAAAACTTTTCGACAATGCATTTTAAAAAGTTTTCTTAATTTTTGCATCTTGATATAGTTTTAATGGTCCGACTTGGATGTAGAGATACTGTGTAAAAAATGAAATTTGAGTGTTTTTGACAATGTAACTTCTAGGTTTTGGCCTTAGTCATCTAAAACCTATTGTTGGGTAATTTAAGACGTTAAACTTGGTCAAAAAATATACTATAAGTGGAATACTTAGTAACATAAGCGAAACATCACAATAAGTTTCTTGGCAGGATTGTTAAGGACCTTGATACTCAAATCTAATAGGGCTCAGTCAGACAGATTCTCACCCAGTAGGAATAAATCCACAACCCACAAAGTCGGGATTTCATTCAAGGCAGGCTTTGTAGACTAGTTAATCGCATGCATGGAAAAATGTGTAATTTTTCATCCTTTCATTAAATCGTAAATTTATTGTCTTTGTCAACGGAGTAAGTTTGACACCCCAAAATCGGATTTAAGTTAAATTCTGGCTTCTTGCTTGTATAGCGCATTTAAACATATTTGGCGCGCTTCAGAAAGTTTCGGATGCCCATTTTGTAATTGAATTTGCAGGGCTGGAGACAGCCACCGAAGTGAACTAAGAATTGGTTCCTAATTTTTGCTTAAAGGAGGTGCGACTTTGTAGACTTAAAGTGATTCATTTTACGCATACAAAAAATTAAAGCAGAAGTTAATGTGCAGCTTCTTGAGGCTTCCCCTTTTGTTGGGTAGAGCATTAATTTGGACTAGTTACGTGTTTTAGTAGAAGGGTGGATTACATTTTGCTGCATAAATTGTGCTCTTGTAAGAAGGCGCGAATTCTAATCGAACGCTGTAGAGGTGGAGTGCAAGGGCTCTTCTCAGGACTGGCTCGTATATCTTAGCTGCACTCTGATTCCCGTAGACTTTACCCATATAACAATGTCAAATAAATTTTCTTCGAATCTTCTCCCTTTTTAGGAGACTGTAGTTGAGGCCGATGAGAGGGGGAATTGAGGTTGGAGTAAGATAAACATTAAACTGACCATTAGTCATGCAGGTAGCCAAATTAAAAGGCATTGTACAGTGTCTTGCTGAATTTGAATCTGCTCTAATCCCATTAAAATTTCACAATGAAGATAGGTTATTTAAATGCGGGAATACCTATATTTAAATTAAATCCCAATTATAGTGACTCAGTCCAGAAAAAGGTGTTTTCATCTTCAAAAGATGGTGCAATTTCGTTGATAAATTATGGAAACCTTTAGGGGTTGAAGAAGGCGTAAAGTCATCATCACAAACACATTCAACTAAGTCACTTCCCTAGGATTTTATCTGACTAAATCCTCTTGTAGAAGTGAGTGTTTCATTTTTCGCATAAACATGGTGTTCCTTTTCAACAAGTGAACATCATTTTAGTACTTCTTTTAAATGCAAAGGCAGTCAAATCATGATGATAAGTAGACCTGAATTTCTTGAAAAAGTACATGTTTGTGCCAAAAACATCAGCAAGGGCATTAGGAAGCACAATTAGTCATGCACCCGGAAACTACATGTCCTAAGATATTTTCAGTTTATGTCGAATGCTTTGCACTCAGGATCACGTCGAAAGCCCCGAGATCTTTCCGTGAAATGAGTACACATACGTTCTACTTACATATTGTGACTTCAGTTGTCCTTAATGGCACCCAAAAATGCTTGAAAGCCCATCAATTAGGAGCATTTGAGAGATAGAAAATGCGTTTTGCAATAATTTTGCAGAGAAGATCAAAATGTTCCCATAAACCGCACCAAAAAGGATTTTCCTCCAAAGTGATGTGCTAAAGGAGTGGATTTGTTTATTTGGCTGTGAACACAAAATGGCAAAACTGGTGAAGCCGTAAAAAAGCTGCACTGATGTCAGCATAAATTTGTGCGAACGCGCAGAAAGTTGTGCATGTGGCTTAAAAAAGCCTCCTCATGTTGTACAATTTTACAGCTTCCATGTTGAGCTGCCTTTCACTTCGGTTACTTTGCGGCTTGTCTCTGAGGAAGACCTCAACAGTTGTAACAGTTCTTTTTGTTTGTTTGATGCCATTGCAGATTCTTAGGGCGTTTCAAGGCTTGTTGATGTTCTGTGGCAAACGCGGATAATGCGCTTGCAACTTTGCACTCCATGGAGGTCTTGTAGAGTCGCCTCGGTTTTTGGTTTGCCCTTCCTCTGGTCCCGCTCATTGTTGATGGTCTGCTTATTTGAAGTACCTTTGGATTCTTGCAATCTGGGGAGGCAACTGCCTGTCCAGAGGCAGTGGGAACCACTTCCACAATTGACGTTTTAAACTTTCTTACCTCGGCATCTCATTGGTCCTTGCAGGAATAAAATAAATTGAATTTTGATAATATCTGACGTTTAAACCTTTCTTAGGTTTGGTCGGCCAATTTCAAGCGTTGTCCTTCTTTTGCTACTTTTTGATTCATTTAGGCTAGGTTGTTCCAACAATTTCAAAATCCTCCTCCCAACGTTGCCGCCGAAAGTGCTTCAAGACGTAACATTCTGCGTCAAGCGTTACTAATGTGGACAGATGATGGCTAGTGGACTGTTGACGGAAATCTCGTTGTAACTGCGGCTAATGGGCAATCATATTTTGATTTGTTTTTTTTTAACCTAAGTGCAAGGTTATTGTGCGATGTTCCCTTTACCAAAAAGCTTTCAAAGGGGCGCTGAAGCTGGGCGCCTTTGTTTGATCGAAAATAAGAGTTGAGATGGTTTGAACTGATGTGTTTGTGCAGTTTCAACCGTGGTTCGCTTCAAGACTTGCCTATGATTGATTTCCAACGCCTCAATCCTCTTCGCATCCACTTCCCTTTCACCCACATTGTTGGAAATGACACAAAAAGTTAACGATTAATCCTTCGTTTGCGTCAGTGTCTCTTGTTCCTGTTCATTAAAAAGTATTTCCCTTCTTGAGTTAAGAAAGTGAAGAATTGCGCATTAAGGAGATCTTGTAGTTGCAATAACTAAAAAAGGGTATTTTCAGCTCAGCCAAATACACTCATAATCGGTAAAAGGCTTTAGTGGCCTGTACACATTAGAAGAACGCACCGGTCTCGGACGGTCTGCTGCTCGACTTTTGGCGAGAGGTGAACGACACGTTCTGATTTCGCTATTAGCATGGATATGACCTTCGGGAGTGATACTGCCTCGTCCTCAATCGTCCCGGCTGCCCGCCACTTCCCCTCTTCGACTCAGACGTTCATGCACCCGCACGAGAAAGAGGCGGTGGGCAAACAAAAGTACTGCCGTGAAGGCGGTCAGCACGGCCGGATTTTTGCGCCTCTGCGCGCAAGGCAATTTGTTAAAGTTGACTAGTTTAGGTAGAAGTTCGAGTTTTGTGGTGATTAATTGAAACAGTCGGGTAAAATCGCAACTTTTTCCTTTTTGTAAATGCACACAACCAATCTATGCATTCTCTTATCTTTGTTTTGACATTTCAAAATGTCAACCACATTTTGTAATGCACACAGAACTTAGGAGCGTGGGGAGCTAATGGGAAACTGTGTGAACCTTTTTAACCATGAAACTCACCTGGAAAAATACTTTCAAGGGATATGTGTTGCAGCAAAGTTGAAGCTCTGAGGCAAAAAACACAATGTGGGGAAGATGGATCTTTTGGCTATTTTTGACAGGTTTATTGGTAGAACTTGTAAACGACTTGATTTTATGCTACACAATTGGCATTACTCAGAAACGACTTCAGATTCTGCTGTCTCAACCAAGGCACTTTTCTGTAAAAAGTATTATTTCCGCAAAGTTCACCCTTTCACCATCAACACTAATTTTAATTGTGCGAAGGTCTGTCAAGGAAGACGGCTACAAGGCAAAGGCGAGATGGATACCTCGAAAAGTAATGTCAATTGTTTGAGGTCTACAAATCATTGTTGCTAAAACCTCGCCCTCCTTTAACTTTGTTCGTCTTCTTGATTAAAATTGCGCATCTTTCTTTAAAATTTCAGCTGCCCAAACCCGTGACAGACCGATAGCACGGACACAAGCTCCATAGCACCCAAACGAGTTATCCGACAGTCAAGATTGTTTCACGTTTACAAGCAGGAGGGAACACAGCGGAAAAGTCCTCAGCAGGGCTGGTCCAAATTAAATGTTTGGATACTAAAACAGCTCCACACGGAATCTCCCGTACACCTTTTAACTGCCACAGCGATGGACATTTGTCAACTTGCTCGAGTAATTATCGCGAATGTGTGCTGACCCGACTTCGATTGCACTGCCTTCGAAGCTGACATTCAATGTGTGTTCCACATTGACCGCTGGATCCGTGCGCTACTGCACGCAGCACACAGCGATACGGTCCAGAGGTGACAGGATAGGCCCGACCAAGGTCACTGCCTCTTGTGCATCATCGTTCAACCAGCCAGATTCGCACTTATATGGGTTTGGGTGGGTGGATCAAATAGGAGCGAAAAAGGCACCAACTCCTCTCGGTTTTCGGACTTGTAATTTTCGAGCCTACGGATTTTTAAATTTGGGACTGAGACACCAGAGGAGACACCACAAAGGAGCAACTTTCCGTCTCGTTCTGCACTGACGATAGTTTTGACAAATCGTAAGCTCCAAAGCGTTGATTTTGATTGGCTGCGCATTTCACGATTGTCTTTATTATCGCTTTTATCACCACCGCGTTTTACACCTTTTAAAGTTGCAATCTAGAGGCCATTTTTCCTCTACTCCCCTGTGCATTAGAAAGCAGAACGAAAGTACCTCATTAATGCTAAGTCAATTATTTTCTCTTTTTTGCTTTCCTGTTCTAGTTTTTTTTTAAACCGTTTCGAACCACTTCTTCACATTTCGATTTTTTTGCAATTAATTGTACGATTTTGGGATTATGTATGCGAAAGTGCCTTGCTCTCACTGATTTCTTCTACCCCAGTGGATTGACAAATTGTCCCCCCCACAAGTGACGTCGCCTCATCAATCAAATGTTGTCAATGGAAATTGAAAAATTGACGAACTTTGAGAGCTCAGGTTGGCAACAAATAACCTAATCTTGGAGGTCTTTGGTGTTTTGCCGAACTCAGATATATGTATCAATTTAGAGAACGCCCATTTATGATTTTTTAACAACGAAATGCAAATGTTTTATTTTAAGTGGTTGATTTTTAAGTATTAAGACAATTAAAGACTTTAAAACTTAGCGATGCTCATTGTTAGAAGATTTGGTCGTTTTTTAGTATTTTGGCATTGGGAGGAGACGGTCTGCCGGTAGACGGCATCAGTACGCTCTGCGTGATTTTTCCTGTTGTCTCTCTAGTTGTGGCAGGCTGAAGACTTCCATGGGTCATGAAAACCGACCATCGTCGTGTTTCTTCCTTTCACCCACCATCTGCAACATGTGACATGGTAAAATAGGAGAAGCTAATTTCATTTTGTGAGGAAGGCTGTCATTCAACCCTCGAAGTTGAGGTCTCTTGAGACCAGCACCTAGGAGTGCAAAATCCACACAGGATGGAAAGCGTAGCCTCACTCTCGTCTGGTAGTGATGTTATGGTTGCTGCGTCGTGGGAGAACTTTTGAAGGCTCTTAAGATACACAGCTCGGAGCACTTGTTTGTGCCCACATGCAATGAAAACGTGTTTTTAGGTCGCAGGGATGTTTTACTCTAACTACTTGTCCATGGCCACGTTTTAAAAGACCATGCTTATGAAAGTACATGGAGAAAAATGCGTGATAGAGGTTTGGGGGCTGTTCAAGAAGTTAATAATTAAATATCGCAGCACATTAAATGTATTTTTGTTGTTTTGCCACTTTCTCGGGAGCCGAGGCCAATCTGCGTCCCTTGAGGATTCCTATCATAGAAGAGAGCAGCTCGATCTCTTGTCGCCTCTTCCACTTGAAGGGCCGATGTCCTTAAAATGCGTCACAGATACGACAATTCTGCCAATCCGGATGGCCTAAGTGGTCCCTCCCGACCTCCAAATTTTCTTACCACAACTGTCCTTGGCAGCTGATTGAACTTCCTCGTGTCACGGAGAGATTATTGAAGCTTAAGATGCCAAAATGGGTCGTGAAGTTGATCCCTGTTTGCCGAGAACAACTTTTTCGGGCCTGTATTTGCATCAGCTGTTAAGTCCATTAAAACATAAAAATTGCAGCTGTTCGGAAATTTTATTCAACCAATAAATTTTTTCACATTTCTCTCTATTTCAGCATTTATTTGAGTGGAATCACGTCCCTATTCAGCGAAGCTTTTGGTATTTTGCTTTCATAAAATTTGCTTATCAACTTTGTGTCCCCTAAATGAACGGCTCAATTGCAACTGCGATTTTATCCAACGACTGAAGAGGAAATGAAGTTGGATGTGAAGGACGGCACACAGCCGAGGCTTAACATCTCCGTGAATTTCACACTCTCCCCATCCTCCATTTCATGGGACGTGAATTAAAGTGAAAGGCATGGTGGTGTAGAACGTTGGTTTAAATGATGGAAAGTCGTGATTACTCCTTCTGGGGGGTAGAGTTGCCTCTGTTTCTGCCAATAACCTCTGCTTTGACATTTTATACAATTAAAACGGTAACTTTAAAGAGATTAAAAACAAGTTGTTGGCAAATCTTTCTTTGTTGCAAGAAATGGGTGTTCCTTTTCGTCAGTGCTTCCCGAGAGTCCGATTTGCAGTTTTGGGTTCTTCGTGCCATTTGTGTCGCCTATTACCAGCCGCCGTATTGGGATAAACATTCAGCACTTACCACCGGGTGTGGTGCTGGCACGGTAACACCTCTTGCAATAACTGGTGGCTAAAAGTACCGGTTCGATTTGACCGTTTTGATTATAGTCACCTACAGTGACCTTCCACTGTGCCATAACTGTAAAGTCTCCAACATTTCCAACAAGCAATATTCTTTTATGCTAGAAACGTAGTTATGCCAAAGAGGCTGTGATTTGTACTTACGTATCAAAGTCCGTTTTCAATTTTCAGTGTCATTACCTTTTAGAATAAATTAAGCATCGAAAGTTTTAATTTTTACAGTTTTCTTTTTCATTCCACGACACTTGTCATTTTGACCACCAGCGTGGGTGGCGTCCTCTCTTGAGGGCCACAAGAGTGGAGGGTGCTTAAGAAGTCATCTACACCATCACATGGACAAGATTTGTTTAGCCTGCTAGGACGGAATTCTGTGGTCGTTATATGAAGGGCCATAAATTAGCATTTCGTAGGCCCCTCTACGAATTCCTTGGAAGGTAAAGCAAATATTTCTTTGTCCAAGAGAAACTATTCGCACCATGAAACTGTGTTGTACGTTTTTATTCATTTTCACATAACCTTCTAGAGGCATCTGAAAGAATTCCACATTTATGAATGCTTGGATGATTTGACAGCTCAAACAAATGCCACAGGCAAGTCGGACACATTAATTTTTGGCAGTCGTCAGTGCACTTGTCTAACCAAGATGACATAAAACGAATTATGTCGATTCGTTTTATCAAAGGTGGTTACATTAAGAGGCCTCAAAGACCACATAAATTCATTGCGTGACATTAACTGTCATTTTAAATGCTATCCCCTGGATGCAATGAAAAGATGTTCTTTGGGGAAATCAACGTTTAAAAGTAAGAGGTGCGATAGCGAAGTTAAGATGTCACAGTGGTACACTAACAGTTGATCACAAATTTTGAGGTTTGCTGGTGCAGTATTCATCCACCTCGTTAATCTAGGGTGTGTTGATGGTCTTATAAGTTGTGATCGTGAAGTGTATCAGTGACGTCAACCCCCTTCCGACCAGTGATGACATTCATATGGCTTGGCGGAAATCCACCGTCTTTCAGAACACTACTGTCTCGTAAAAGGTGGAGGGCTTGCTGACGCACCAAATCATGTGTACTTGTTTAACCAAAAGTAATCCGACAGACAAAGTCTAAGTTCTCTGTGCTTTAGCATGAAGGCTTAGCTTCAATCTAGTGCGTTTGAAAAAAGTAGGAATGGGAAATCATTCAAATGTTTATATCAATTTTAAGTAGGCTTATTAGAAAAATGTCGAAATTTAGAACATCTACACAGCTGTAGGTGGCTAGTCGTGGCTTTGAAGTCAAAGGAAAGGTTGACAACTAATTTGGTAGGTTTCCTGAATGCATAGGTATCAAGTAGTGGGTCTTGCAAAAGTATGTAATGGATTACGACATTCCAGGATCGAAGTCAGGGGCTAAAAATACTGCAGCAAAAAGCATGCTGCTGTTGGTGGAGGAAGATGTCATTTCTTTTCCTAAAATTAAAGCATATGATTGACTGGATTTCGAAGACGAGATAAAATACGTATTTGGGGCACGCTTTTGAGGAAAGGTTCTAAAAAAAAATAAACGTCCTTTACCGTGACTCTTTATATGCCACCTTTCAGAAGTCAGTTTAATTCTTGGCTAGTTTAGATGGACTACACTGAAAATAACCCATTGAAACTCCCAATTCTTATCAGATCTTATCAAATAGGCCACACTAAGGGTTTCTTTCCCTTCTTGGTAATAGCAGAATCTATCTTTTGCATAAATATTCGAAACATTTCTACCTAAACAGATCCCTTGTATTCCTTGAAACAGAAATGGACGTTATTTAGCCAGATGTTTGAACTCAAATAAAACTAACGAAAATTCGTGATTCCAGTGAAATGAATAGCAAGAATTTTATGGTTTTGAATACAAAACGTTTTAAAAGGAATGACAGGCTGAAAGCATTACAGTGACTATGTGATTTCCATAAGCTATTTTTATGGTCTACTGCTGTTTTCAGGTCATCTTCTTGTTTAATTTTACACATTCGATGCCCAGCTATAGCAAACAATTGCGTTCTTCGAATGGCATACTGCCTGCGAATTTGCTGTGCTGTAGTATGATTTCAAAATCCCCATCCCGAAAGACGCTTTGAACATTCGCTCCCAATAGTTCTGAATTGACTGCAATCATTCATTACTGTTCTTCGAAAATGTTTTTTTATTCACTTTGCTCTCTAAAATATTTGTAAATTAAATTTTGCTACTAATCAAATCTCAGTACACAGTTTTATTTGCTGTAAACCTCTGTTTCAGCCAAATGGATTGGTCGCAGTTTGCAGACCCGCAATTTCTCCTCGGAGTGGGAGTAATCGCTTTCGGTGCCATTAATGCTTACATGCTTCGCAGACATAATCTTCAAAGGGCTGAAGAGGAAGCTGAGCATTCAGGTGTACGTGGGAATGAAAGTGTCAAACGGCAAGAAGTTCGAGAAAGTACAGAAACCACAGAGTGCTCGAGGTTTCTTGATGATGGGTATCAAAAGGAAAAGTGTGAGAAACCGAAATCAAATGACTGGAACCCAACGGAAAATGCAGCTATGGAAGGTAAGCAGGTCAAAAAAATCTCTGTGTAGTCATGTACGTATTTAATGGAAATCGTGACAGACTTGTGCAACTTCAACATCGAATTCAATGTTAGCTTGCCCCTTAACTTTGTGATTAACCATCAACAAAAGCTAAAATGTATCGGTAAGTATGAAGTGGTAAATATATTGAAGGAAATCTGAATGGCAGAAAATTAATCAATTATATGTTGCTTTTATTTGAATGACCATCATTAAAATTGCTCCTCCCTCGTCAACATAGCACAGAGGATCCAATTCTACTTTTGCAAAATTACACCTTTCCTAGTCAAAAATCCAGCTTCATGTAACTCCGCTTCCACCCTAGTTTAGTTCCCAACTTAATCATTTAGGCATACAAAAATGGCACTTATTTGGTAGTGTTTAAAGAATGTGGGTGAGGAGATTTCGAGCCATACTGTCCTTCGGTCTATCTAGGCCTGCAACTCTCCTCTAACCAGTACACTTGATACAAATACATTTTACTATAGCTGTGATTTTCAGCCCGATGTCTAAACATCGTGAGTTCACCATGTGTGCAAAATATGCATAAATTTTTAGGATGAAGTGGTGTCTTAGAAGTGTGAATGTGCAAGTGTATTATCTGTAAACATGTATAGCTATGCTCTCTTGGTGAGTATTAAATGGATAATTTTCTTAAACACAAAAGTCATTCAGTAAACTAACTTTGCACTTCCACATCGAGACGATCAAAGTTACGATGCATTTGAACGCCTTATACTTTTTTAGTTGTTCTTGCATACAGGAGAAACTGTTTAGTTAGTCTTTCACTGCAGTTTGACAGGCTTGGAGTTTGATTAAATGCCTAAAAGTTGAGCAGATAACTCTGTTTCATAACGTACATAGAGTTGGCTCATGTTCAACTATCTAACCAAGTCAGCCTCGGAAAAGGGAACTACGATGCATTAAACAAGGTCATCGAAGTGTTCTGCGAAGTGACGCCCTGTGAATGCGCACTTCATGCAGGGTCAGACGCCTTTAGTCCCCTCCCCCTTCACCGTATGATTTGCTATCGGGGCGGTCAACTAACACGATCTGTCGCATCACAACTACCACCCCTCCACTCAGTGATTGGCCACTTATTAGGAGCTCTCTGATTGGTGCTTCTTCCTTTTCAAATCTAATGGGCAACTACCACAAATTTGCGCACAGATTAACGTGAATTTAGCCCTCCCGACCATTTCTCGAATCACATAAAGCTAATGAAGAGGAGTGCTAGCCAGGAGCCAGGGCGGTCCCCCTCTGCTACTCCTCATAATGGTCAAGAGACTAGCAATGAGCATCGAAAGAGTAATTCTCTTTCCAGCAGCTTTCGAAAACTATTTCGCAATCGTAGTGTCTCTAAAACACGTGATCCTTTTTCCTCCACCCATTTCAATCCCAAATCTACCAAAATGGATCATTGCAATCGATCTCGCCTATCGAAATCTCTCTCTACATTCTTCGTCAACTGCTGTCAATGCTGCGCCTGTTGCTACGGTTGGGGCAACACTACGGATTCTCCACCTTACGCCGACGACTTCCATCACCGTTGTCGTGGGCCGTGGAAAAAATCAGACCGAGTTTCTGCGTCTGAACCTCAACTGTCGCCGCCACCTCCAACTGTACTTCCTTCAATAAGGGTAAGGTTCGAAAATCAGATTCCGGAGATGGAGGGAAAGGATCATATTTCTCGGCGAAAAGAAGTAGGGCAAAAGTTCAGAGACGAAGTGGATGCGGAGATTATCAGTGCCAGTCTTGATGATCAGTTGATGCTCGAAAGAAAGTTGGACGAAGGCAATGCCCAGCGAGGGAGACAAGAGGATGAATTCAGTGAATCTTCTGAAACAGTCACTATAGAACCGAATTCGGTAAGCCTCCAAATTTATAAAGCAGATTTTGTACACCAATTTCCCTTTGTTGTCACCCAATCATTCTAGTAATTTATGTTCTGAAAAATTACTTCTGTTGTAATGATTTGTTTGCTATTATGAGTGCCTATTTTACACCAGATATGCACGGCTTCGCATTTTAATTCTCGATTGCGCCCCAATCATGCAGGATTTCAGACAAGTCTTTTTTTGGTGTACTTAATTGACTAAATTGTCAGCAAAGGATTTTTTTGCATGCATGTTTGGACCAAACGGCAGTTATCATTATTTTTTTCTTTATCCTGTTTATATTAAAAACCTTTCGGTCATTGTGCTTCAATGCACACTCCAAAGTGCAGATGAGTGCACTTAGCGACTTGTCTTAATTGATACCTTTACCTTTTTGCAAATTGTTTTGGCACATTTTGTTGGCGCATACTGCGAAAAGAATAAAGTCGTCAAAAGGTTTGCATTCAAGTTTAAGCGAATTTGTCGTCTACGTCTATTCATAATGAACGTGGAAAATGACGTTTGTGTTAAGATCTGACTGTCTCTTTCACTTGCTTCCGTGCTAACCCTCCAGTCAAGGCCATTAATCAAACGGCCTTGAAATAAGCAACTCAATTTTGACACAAACTTTACTTCACTAGTAAACGGAAATCCGCATTGAATGGGCCATAAATTGAATTTGCGAAGGCATAATTTTAAACAAGGTTTCAGGGATAACTTCTCGGTCCCCCCAAAGTCTGTCCGTGTTCACCTAGACGTTGTTCACTTGTCAAAAATGAAAAAAAGCAATAAAGGTATGCGCTTTGGTCTGAACTTTCACTCAAACCATCCTGGCGACGTGTCTCTGACGCAAGTTGGCCGTCTACTTCTTGAAGCCCTAGCATGGGCTGCTAGGGTTATGTCAATTTATTCATACATCTCCCAATCTCTTGACAGTGTCTACTCAGTAATAGTTGAATCGGTTTTTTTGTCTAATGCCCCTACATCTGACATTAGAACTGAAGTCAGAAGGAAAGGAAGCATCTGTGGAGGTCAACTGCAAATAAGTGCAGAGGCCTTTCGTCTGAAAGGACACTTTTAATTGTGCTGCATATACTTCTCTCAGAAAATGTGGGGACCGTTATTAATTCATATGCAACTCTGCTAGCACATAGATTTATGAATGGACATTCCATGTTTGGCAAATATCTACCGTCACATGCCTCGCCATCCAGAAGCAAGATTCATTAACATGAGGGTAGCACAGCTTGTTCCCATTTGTTCTTTAATTTAATTCTTGCAGTTGAGGATGCGAATGCGTGCCTGTGCTACACGCTGGTCCAAGAGGCTAGTTAAATGACTTATTTGTTGCATTAAGCGCAGTCGCCGAACTTGATTACAAGAAGGGAATCGCACGTGTCAATGTGAAATCTGCAATACTACATGAATAGGAAGCGCCAACTTGTTGGGTGACATCGCTTAATTTAACAAAATTAAGGAAAGCAAAGAAGTGTGATGTAGCAGTATTTGGCATCGAAAAGTTGATTTGAACTGTGCTACTCTGGAAACTCACTAAAGCTGCGATTCGGACTGCAATCGCTTTCGCACTCCCGACACGCAATTAGCCTAATGGCGAGTTGCCTTCTTGGGAGCTTGTCTAAGCGTTTCCTCCTCCTACTTAGTGTTGCTGCTCCTTACGAAGATCTCAGCGTAATAGGCTTTGCTGAACACTTCGTGATGAACAAGTTAGAAAGTCGCAAAGACCATCTTGAGACGCCTCCTTAATAAAGACAATGCATGCGTCGTGGATAAGCCTTAAGCAACTGATTGCGAATTAAACATGAATAACGGCAAAGCACATTATTTCATGCGTTTAAACAATGTTTTTTTATAAAATATTTAAACAAAATCTTCGTTAGAAAGTAGTAGTGGTAGTAGCAGCAGTGAACTTGATCTCACATCGTTTGCGACAGGGTAAAGTGTACTTCACTTTCCACTACAACTTAGTACGCAAGTTATCTTAAACATTATCATATGGCCTTTTTGAACGTCCACCTTGGACGCAAAAAATGCACAAAGGTCTTCCCATTTGATATTTATGATCGCCCTTTGTGCTGCAGATCGATGCACACAGGAACGCCTATTGTTAACACAAACAGCCTCAGGACTTTAAATCCCGTGCCTCCTTTCCTTCAAAGAAAGACGTGAAATAATATAAAACACTGGTTCTGATAACCAGGCGGACGCCTGGATTCGATAGCGAGGCGCCTGAAAAGAAATGGAACTATTTTTAGTGAACTCGTACTTGAATAAAAGGCTCGGAGGTAGGCATAGTCCCTATTTTTGCTCTTGGAAGCCTTAAAAGCTCTCTCCTTCAAAATCTGTTCCCCTAACCGGTTGCTAGAAGTAGAGTTTGGCACAAGTCCGATTAGTTTCGCCGGCTTCCACTTCGTCAATCAAACTGATAGTCGAAGAGGTGTCAAGTGTCTGTGTTGAGTAGACCCTTTGCATTCAATATAATTTTAGTAGATTTTCTGCATTGAGGTCATTCGCATTTGGAGTTAATACATGACCCTTGATAGCTAATGACTACGTACAGAAGGAACTAAACATAGTTTCAATGATCAAGGAATAGGACCACTTGGTTTGTTCGGAATATTGAAATCTCATAGACATTGTTATGTCTTGTAAGCTTCACTTTTAAATTTTTTGATCGACAAAGAGGCGGAAACTGCTTTCCTTTCGGGCTCTGATCACTCATGCAACTCATCCATGGGCAAAATACCACAAATTCCAGTGAATAACAACCCAGCACTTTGTGTTAATGCCCATTGCCCACCGAATAGGCCTTGCTTAACAATGAATTCAAAAGAGAGTCACAGACGAAGTGGCATCCGGTTTCGGTAATACCCTACTTTATGTTTTTATTCGTCCATTGGGTGCGAAAAGGGCGACTGTTTTCTTACCAAACACGAATTCCATCGCTTGAAATAGATGAATTAAATGCAAAACCACTTTTTTGCCAGAGACACAAATAGTTTGCATGGTGCCAAATTTTCAGTGCGATTTTGAAATGGGAGCCGAAATGTGAAGATGTTTTCGGACTTTTCTCAATTTTCTCATAAGTGAATCGAAGCCGTTTCGTGATCAAATTGCTCAGTGAATGATGGTGCTGAATGTGCACAGACATGATTGCCATGTCCTTCTGAGATTGCTGCAAATGTGGGAAGCGTTCGGCCACCTTTTAACTGACCGCACCTCCTAAAGCCTTCTTCTGAGGCAGCTGATCGCCTCCACCAAAATGCGTAGGGGCAAATCTCCGTGCGTTTGGATTGTATGCCCTTGTACAATTATTTTCTGCCTTATCACATCCTCCTGCGTGCATTCACTCTCACCGTTATCTAAAACTTGAGTTAACTATGCGTAGACTGATGCTTCACTCAAACCTCTTGAAAAGCTAGACAATGAGAGTTTCAGTGATTTTGAAATTTGAAACTCGGGTTGCTTCAAGTTTTGTATCATATTTAGTCTCCCAGGGGAGAATTTACAAGACAAGTTGCACACAGGCAAGAATTTATGCGCTTTTATTTTTAGGTGATATGAAGAAGTGTTTTCTCCTAAAATTCGAAAGATACAGATGAGAGGTGCTGCATTTGTTATCATGCATCAAGTAGCTAAAAGTTTATCTGACTAATGCCAAAGCACTTATTACCTGTGACGTGGTGAATAACAAAAAAGTTTAATTAAAACAAAGGCCAGCGCAGCTGTACTTCCTTTAGGAGCGTATCCGACTCGCATATGGGCAACTTGAACACAAATGCGCAAAGTTTGACTGGTATTTACTGTTTAAATTGCTACGCAAGACGGGACCGTTGATCAAGCTTGTCTGGTTTGTAAGAATGCGTCGGCAGTGTTGCCTTAAACAAAACCTTGCGTTGATTTGAAAGATATGAAAGTGCTCTTTGACGGTACACAGTTCGTTTGAAGACCATAAAATAACGTACAAGCTGGATTGTAAAATTAAAGTGGAATCGAATCAAATGATACTCACACCCTCTTAGGCTTTCATTTGCATAATGCCGAATAGGACCCCCATTCACGAGTTTTGTGGTAGCTTCTCCCCCTAGACGCCACTTCAACTACTGATCACCCGTCTTTGCCAATGTGCGCCATCCCTCCATCCATTCTGCATCACTCCAGACACACAACATCTCCATGCACGCCCTCTGTAAATGAGTGACTACATAATGCGCTATTTGGACTGACAGATTGGCCCAATATGCCAAATCTTCCCTCAGGTGGGGCTGCAGCGCCACGGATCGAATACTGCATTACAGGTACCAAGACCACCCCAGTGGACAGCCAACAAGTCAAGCACATACCACTCACTCATCCTCTCTGTGAGATGGAATGTGGGCGGTTGGATGTGTAGCAATTGAAAAGCTATTAATAACTGTCCAAAGCACTACCAACAGATAACTGTAGTCCCTTAGCAGATGGTCTTGGTATTTGGATACTTTGAAGTAAAGTGTATGACTAGGTTCCAACAAGGCTTTGTTGTCTTCAAATTCGAATGAATCGCTCTTTCAGCCCACTCATCTCCTCATAAGACTAAAAGGTACAAAGCGCCTCGCGCAATTTTCAAATTTTGTACGTACATCACTATCGTGGATTAGGAGGACTTTAATCGAATCATCAGCATTATTAGCGAACGGATGATGTCAATCAAACATTTCGAAGCTCGGAGTTACTACCTTCTCTGAAGGCATGAAAGAAAGGCGATAGCAAGAACTTTTCAACCTGAATGTCCCACACTTCAAGCATACTTAATCAAAATGAATGAAAACTAACCTTATTATGCAAAGCGATGACATATTATAATAGCGAAACGTGCCACCTTCACTAGTAGATTTTCTTCCAGGGTAGATCGTGACTACGTCTGGCACATTCACAACGTCATCATTGTCTACTCTTGGTGGGAATTTATTAAAAAAGCCACAAAAAATTGGCCTCGCAGGGATTAGCAGCCTATCGGTACCATGCACAAGTCATTTCGCTGCGAATTTCGCAAATTAAATCTC